TTCTTGGTTATTGTTCCCTATTACTAGTTGCTATGTTAGTTCAGGCAGGCTTTGAACAGAGGTCTGTTTTGAGACTTCTGTGCCTTACTCTACATCTGACATCAAGAAAGTCCTGTGAAAATGAATCCCAGATTCTCTCTCTGGACTGTGGCTAGATGCTGCCTGCCCTCAGGCAGGAGGCATGAGGAATGGCTGAGGACGGTGGGGGGAGGTCAGCAGGGTTGGGGTTCAGGACCACTGCTAATTAGGTCTTCACACTGGACCTTCTGTGATCTCAGAACATCAGACACCTGTAAATAAAGTGTCTGCAACTTATTGCTAACAAAAAAATTAAGATGCAAAACAAACACCGTTTTTCTCTTTATGTATTTTTAGATACTGGGTCTCGCTCTGTCACCCAGGCTGGAGTGCAGTGGTGGTGCAGTCATAGCTCACGGCAGCCTTTACCTCCCAGGCTGAAGCCATCCTCCTGGCTCAGCCTCCTGAATTCCCGAAACTGCAGGCCCGTGCCAGTTTTTTTTTTTTTTTTTTTAATGTGGGCATACACATTTGTGCTAGTAGATGTAAAGAAAAATCCAGAAGAATATAAATCAGATTATTAAAGTACTTGTATTGGGTTAGTGGGATTATTTATGATTTTTGATTCCTAGATTATATATTCTTGTAGTGATTGCATTTTTTACGTAGATCAGGTGTAATGATTTTTTAAACTGCTTTTTTGCGATGTTTTACATATATATATAATGCATTTGTGTATGTGTGTGCATATATATATAAAATGTATATGCCATAAAATACACTCATGTAAGTGAACAGTAATTTAAAAATTTTTTTCTTTTTTAGAGACAGGGTGTCACTCTGTCAGCAGGCTGGAGTACAGTAGTACGATCATAGCTCACTGCAGACTCAAACTCCTAGGGCTCAAGATCCTTCTCAGTCTCCCAAGTAGCTGGGACTACAAGCACTCACCAACACACCTGGCTAATTGAAAAATTTTTTGTGCAGTTGAGGTCTCACAGTGTTGCCCATGCTGGTCTTGAACTCCTGGGCCCAAGTGATCCTCCAGCCTCAGCCTCCTGAAGTGTTGGGTTGCAAGAGTGAGCCACAGCGTCTGGCCTCAGAAATTGTCAATACCTTCATAGAGTTGTACAGCCATCACCATAATCCAGTTTTAAGACATGTCTATTATTGCAAAATGATCATTCATGCCATTTACAGTCAACCTCCACTCCCATCTCCAACCCAGCCACTGTTGATCTTGCTGTGTGCACAGATTTGCCTTTTTGGGAAGTTTCATATAAAAGGAATCAAGCAAGATGTGGCCTTTTGCATCTGGCTTTTTTCACTTAATGATTTTGAGGCGTATCCATGTTGTAGTGAGTATCACATGTATATCGTGTATACACAGGATATCCGTCCCTTTGCCATGGGGGAGGATGCCACCGCATGGAGGTCCTGCATTTTGTCTTTCCATTTCTCAGTTGACTGTCATGTGGGTTGTTTACAGGAAAGCCTAATAGGAATAAAGCTGCTATGAACATCTGTGTCCAGGTCTCTGTGTGGACACACACCGCTAATTTCATAATCAGAAAAACAAAACCAAAGGGCCAAAATGAATTCTGGAACTGTTTCTGGAATACTTTCCCTTTTACCAAAATGGGAGTTCTAAGAGTGGGGTGGGAAATGTAAAATAGGAGAGAAAGGTGTGGGCTCCCAACAGCCTTTCCTTCCTCAGACCTGGGAACAAAGAGGTGCCATCGTCCCACTCTGGAAATGGCTCATATTCATGCAGTTATCCAAAGCTTCGGAACACTCAACATCCTGTTTGCCCCATGGCTCCTGATACGGATCTCAACCCAAACACCCACCCCTCTCATGAGTCGCTTAGTTCAAGAGCAGCAAATTAAGGGAACTCCACTTCCCTGATCCTACTTCACTGGGTACGAGCAGGGGTTTGAGTTTGGAGGACTGTGGAGAAAAGCCCCAAGCACCAGTGTTAATTCATGAGCAGAAACTTGAGAGTTTAGCGATTCACGTGTTTTGGCTAGGTCCCTTCCCAGAATACAAAGGTCAAAGGTTGCAGTTATGGAAGGAAAATGATTCAGAAAAAAACATGGAAAATAGGATCTGGTTCTTTAAGCAGGAAAGAGACGTGGGAAACAATTTAGAGGGAAAGAGGCAAAAAATAAACTGGCTCTCCAAGCTGGTGTGTCTTATTCACCAAGAAGAGGCAAGAAGTGGATGGACAGCACATTTTGGGGATCAGTGGTTTTTGTTTTTGTTCTGTTTTTTTTTTGAGACAAAGTCTGACTCTATCACTCAATTTAGAGTGCAGTGGTGCGATCTCGGCTCACTGCAACATCTGCCTCCCAGGCTCAAAGGGATTCTTGTGCCTCAGCCTCCCCAGTAGCTGGGATTACAGATGTGCGCTACCACACTCACCTAATTTTTGTATTTTTAGTAGAGATGGGGTTTTGCCATATTGGTCAGGCTAGTCTCAAACTCCTGACCTTAAGTGATCTGCCTGCCTCGGCATCCCAACGTGCTGGGATTATAGGCATGTGCCACCGTACCCAGCTGCCAATGTAGATAGACACAATTTTAAAGGACTATGGGAAAATCTGGCGTTAATGAGTATTACGAAGAACACCTATCTTGTTTATTAATTACAGCTGCTCTCCACTGGAAGTTCCTTTAGCAACCCAAGCTCCTTCCTGGGTATCTAAGGGTCTGGCTGATTTCTGGAACCTGCTGCCGAGGTTGCGACCCTGCCTCTGTCTTTCTGACCCTCAGGTTGCCCTAGCGACTCCAGGAACTTTTCTCCACGCCTCTTCACAGACTATCTATGGGACATAGACTTTGAACCTCTCTCTCTCCTTTTCCCTCTCCTTGCTTTGGTTTAATTCATCATTTCTAGGTGTGTGATGACACTCCCTAACTTAACCTTCCTGCTTTCATATTTCAGCTACCATCACAATGATCTCAATACCAGCAGATATCTAGCACTTGGCAGTTTTCAAAGAGCTTCCACTAGATCCTTGCTCGGAATCTTGTGATGCAGGCAGCAGAGCTAGGATTGTCTCCTTTTAAAGGAAATCGAGGTAGAAAAGTTCATGGATGACCCAACATCATAAAAATCATAAAACGGTGAGACCAGGAGCAGGTTATAGGTTTCTGAAGTTCTGAAGTTTCAGGCAAATGTGCTGTGATTGGATGTGTTAAATTAGACTAACGGAGTGGGGAAGGGCTATGACAATTGAGAGTAGGTCTGTAGAATACATTCAAAATCATGGACTTAATTCCTTAAGGACATAGGAGCTTGTGAGGCATTTTCTAACTCATTTTTAAGTTTTCTAGATGTTTTATCCATAGAATTTCCTTTTTTTTTTTTTTTTTTTTTTT